TATATACTTTGTGTGTATGTATATATACTTTGTATGTATATGTATATATACTTTGTGTGTATATGTATAGATATACTTTGTGTATATGTGTATATATATTGTGTGTATATGTATAGATATACTTTGTGTATGTAGATATATACTTTGTGTCTATATGTATATATATATTATGGTTTCTGGTTTTGTGTTTTCATTGGACTTCTGTGTGTGTAAATGTGTGTGTCTATGTGTTTCCTGGCTTTTCCTTTGGCTCTTTTTCTTCTGTGTTTGTTTTGTGCTGTTTTCTTCTTTTTCCTTCCTCTTCTTCTCATTGTTTTGATGCCTGTCTGTATTCTGATGAGAGAGAGAGACAGAGACAGAGAGAGACAGAGACAGAGAGACAGAGACAGAGAGACAGAGAGAGAGGGTGTGGAGTTGGGTGGGTTAAGACATGAGCAGGATTGGGAGGAGTTGGGGGACGAGAATAAATATATTACATTAAAAATTTATTTTCAATTTTTAAGGTATAAGTCTGAATTGTTTAGATATTTCCAATCTTAGTTAGAAGCTGTCATTCTATTGGAGCGAATGTGTCCCCCTGTGACAAATACATCAAACATCAAACATGCAAAGTCCCTTCTCTATACATTCAAAGTCGTAATATTAATGGTTTATTTTCTTAGGCATTAGAGGATGATTCTCTTTCTTTCATGGCTAAAACATTTCCAGACATTACGGTCTTTCAGAATCATTCAAGGAAAACCACAGATCTTGAACCAGTTTGGGCACATTAACCTGAAATTAAGCAGAATTAAAAACAAAACATTCAAAGCTACCTGACTTAGGAGACGCTGGGGTTCCTTTGCTCACCTGATAGAAGCATCCATGGAATGCCTGTCTGGCCCAGGGAGAACAGATCAGCAAAGGGGAGTGTAAGAAAGTCCAGAAAGTCCAAGAAACACGTCTAAGGTTTGGTTTCTGATGCTCTACTTAAGCAGCAAGGGCTTCTCCTAGAAGAAAGATGACCCAGACAGAAGTTAGTCACAGCATCACTAAGAGTCAAGAGGAGGACGCAAAAGTCAGCCTTGCAGCAACCTACCAGGTGGGCCAGCTGTCACGTCCTGCAGTACAGCTCTGCTCCTCTTGGGGGCGCTGCTGCTCCACATCTTGTATACTACTGTTCAAAGGGAAGGCAGGGAGAATGCTAAAATGAGATTTTGTCACTTTTAAGGGCTGCACTGCAGAAGGCAGGCAGTCAGGTTTTGCTCATTAGTCAGGATCAGAGCTCTGCACCTCGATTCGCTGCCATGAAGGGTCACACGTCCTTTAATATAAACACACAGCATGACTATAATTGCCACATAGTCAGACAGCGGAGCCCCTGAGACATTTGGCAGGAAAGACAAGACCTCATTATATTCATAGAGGAGAGAAATGTGGACCCGAAGTAAATTAGTAAATGCCACAAAGGGTATTTGGAAGCAGATGCTGGAACCCCAAATTTAAAAGTGAGTTCTGGTATTTGTTCAGCAGAAGGCTAGTGCCTTTAAAGGAGCATCTGTGAGTTCCAAGCCCTAGTCTTGCTTAGGGTTGCGAGAAAACTCCAGGCCTTGGGCATACTAAGCAAGCTCTCTGCCATGGAACCACATCCCTGGCCCAGAACTGAGACCTGAGACAGGATTGTGGGTGCTGGCTTTCCCCCAAGAACACAGTCATCGAGGGCAAACCCTACCCTCAACTTCTCCCACCTCCACTGGTCCCCAGGGCACCAGTCAGTTTCCCCACGTCCTGTTCTGTGTCCCTTTTGCCTCCCAGTCAGCCAGGTGATCCTGGTCACAGCGCTGAGCCTCCTTGGGCTTCAGACCCCCCCGCCCACTATGTAAAACTAAAATCACTCCAACCCTAGAGACTGAGAGAAGTAGAGTGAGGCCCAGCAGTACAAGCTCTCGCTTGGCCTCCAAGTTGGGCAGAGGTGACCGTGCTCACTCACACTGGCCCAGCCCAGAGCACCCATAATGACTGACCTCTCCCCTGAGTTACTCGGGAAGAGGATTTCTGAGAACTCACAGGTAATTACCTTAGTCATGAGTTCAACGGGAGCTATTGCCTGAAGTACAGAAAGTTACAAGGGCCATCTATTTGCACCCAGTGAGCTGACACACCCAATGTGAGCATGAGCAATTTTCCTGTGCTTTGATTCCTCCAAAGTCCAGCTCTGGCCCTGCCTGGACACTACACACAGTCGAATGTATACCCTACTTCCCCTGGCTTCTGTGCCCCCCCCCCTGACTCGCCGTCTCCCCTCTCTCCGCCCAAAGCTCACCATTCTTCTAACCCTCTCAAGCCCCTCCCATTCCTGGAGACCTGCCCTGAGCCACCTCTGATGCTCTGGCTGCCCCTCTCGGGAGGCACAATACTCTCCAGGAGCATCCGGCCCTCAGCTGGCTGTCAATAACCATGACAATCATACTAGAGCCCCCGTGTCCCTGCATCACAGACTCTGTGTGCCATCATTCATATCACCCTCCTCTTTACTGCACGTGTGCCGCGGACCATGCGTGAATTGTGCTTCATAACAGGATTCATCTTCAGGGTTTCCAAGAACAGCTGATATTTCCCACACACTGTACCCCTAATAAGAGAGACTTCCAGGAGCTGCTCAGGTGGCCCAGGCATCATCGGTCTTTGTCCTGACTTAGAGGTCAAGAGTCAAGTTAGCTTGTGGAGTTTGTCCACCTCTCTGTATCTCCGCCTCCAGCACTCCGAGCACCTGCGTAACCAGTTTTCTAGATCGATGAGAACGGGAGGTCTCAGAAACAATTCCTTTGCTGGGAGTGCTAGCACACACCTGTAACCCCAGCATTTGGGTGGTTGAGGTACGAGGATCGTGAGTTTGAGGCTAGCCTGGGATACAGAGCCTCAGAAAGAAAGGGAGAACAAGGAGGGGGATGAGGAAGAGGCAGTGACAGGAGAGGAAGGTCCTTAGGACCACATGGCCTGACATTCTTTATCTGAAATTCAAATGTAATGTCAGCACGCCCGACCCACCTCACTGGAACTAGTTTATTGCAGAGATGCTTTCCCGTCCCTGCTTATTTGATCTATATTCTTTCCAGCAAGTATTTCCTTTTATGGGGAAGATACAGCTACACGGAGACAATTCACCTTTCCCTCACGGTCCACGGTTGACCAACAGCTGCCATCAGGTCCTGAAGGGGAGTCCTGGGGCCTCTTTCTGTGGAGGAGGGTGCCCAAGCGGAGGCCGGTGACCCCCAGTGACTGATGGGTGAGAACCAGGAGTCCTGGAGCTGCTTCCAACCGCACAGCTCCGAGTATCCTTCCCAGGACTGGGGAGGAGGGACAAAAAAGGCAAACCCCAACTCCCATTGGTCAGATCCTGCCCTGAGGGGCAGAATTTGTCAGCCTCTCTGACTCTTCCCCTCTAAAATTGTGAGACCCTGGGAAACTGAGGTCACTTGAGATAACACAGAATGCTAGGGTAAGGGCGCCTCTGAATCGAAGAGCCCAGTTGTGGCGGCGGTGGAACCCAAGGAACCCAGGGAACACTGTTGTTGGTCGGCATCTTAGCGCTGGTGGGCTGTCTCTAAGCAACAGCCCCGTTTCCGGAGGAACCACGAGTTGCAGAGCACACTAGCCCCGTCCCCCGGCCTTGGGATCTTCCTCTCATCAGCCACATCTTACAAGGCGGCAGGCTAAGGTTACTAAGCTCATTTGAATTTTCTGTTGTTTCGATGCCCCAATTCCTTAAAACCCTCTTCTGGTCACCGCAAAGCAGGGTAGAAGGACCTGGAGTATGACCTGCTCTGATCAGGCAGAAAACCTCTCTTTTCCCGTCTTCCCTGGGCAGCGGGTTCCTCTCCCTACCAAAGGCATCACGGAGAGTCACTCGGGGCCACCAATTTGGGTGAAGTATCTGTTTGCATAATCCACTCTTCTCCTAGCGCTGTGAAAGTGATTGCCCATTCATGTCTGGCAAAGGACACCATTACTGCGATTTGGATCTAATTTAAATGTCAGCTCCATTTGTGAGCCCTCAATTCATTACGCTGTCAGGGCAAACAGATGGTGCCTCTAATGGGGAGTAAGGGTAGATGGCTTGGAGAGCGTGGATGGAGATGGGTCAATAAAAGCCTGTTTGTACTGCCATCGAGTGTGGTGGCCCTCCCAGAAGAGGCGCCTCGTCCAGAGAATTAGCAGCTCATAAACAGGCCTGAAATCCCTGTGGAGAGAGAGGGGAAAGTTGGCATTCTGGGCAGACTGTGGTCATGAAGGGAGACTGTAGAAGACGGGTGATCAGGAGGGTCCAAAAGCCCACTGCAGGCTGGGTGTGGGGCACACACCTGTAATCCCGGCGCTTCAGAGGTTGAGGCAGAGGCCTGTTATTTCAAGGTCAGCCTGAACTTGAGTGAGATTGTCTAAAAATGAAAATATTCTATTGTAACTCCAGTAGCTGACGGCACAACCAGTGTCTCTGTATGCAGCTGCTCACCTCTGACAGTGCAGCCAGTGTCTCTGCATGCGGCTGCTCACCTGACAGTGCAGCCAGTGTCTCTGCATGCGGCTGCTCACCTGACAGTGCAGCCAGCGTCTCTGCATGCGGCTGCTCACCTGACAGTGCACCCAGCGTCACTGCATATGGCTGCTCACCTGACAGTGCACCCAGTGTCTCTGCATGCGGCTGCTCACCTGACAGTGCACCCAGTGTCTCTGCATGAGGCTGCTCACCTCTGACAGTGCAGCCAGTGTCTCTGTATGCGGCTGCTCACCTGACAGTGCACCCAGCATCACTGCATGTGGCTGCTCACCTCTGACGGTGCAGCCAGTGTCATTGCATGCAGCTGCTCACCCCTGCAAAGATAGCCTGGAGTCACTCACCCAGGGTTCCAGGGTTTGCTGGAAGCTTCTGTGCACAGGACACCAGCAGGCCCTGTAGTGGCAGAAACATGGGTACAGCAGTTCTTAATCCTGGATGCTTGCAAGGCAACACTCACTCATCACTACAATCCAACATCGAGTGTCAGTCCTGGTGCAGGTCCCAGCCAGGGACGCTGCGGGCAAAACTGCTCCACTCCCTTCTTTGGAAAGTGCAGTGGTATTTCATTTGTATTTCAATAAATAAAGCTTGCCTGAAGTTCAGAGAGTAAAACAGCCGCACTGATCAGTCTTACAGACCAGGCAGTGGTGACACACACCTTTAATCCCAGTAGCCACACTAGTTTGACATAGAAACCAGGTGGTAGTGGTGCATACCTTTAATCCAGAACTAAAGAGGAATATAAAATGGGAGGAGACAGCTCTCAGACACAGTCTCATTCTGAGATTCCTGGAGGCAGGATCGCCATTTTGGAGTGAGGTAAGAGCCAGTGGCTGACTGCTTTGCTTTTCTGACTTTCAGGCTGAACCCCAATTTCTGTCTCTGTGTTTTTATCAGTCAGGCTACAGGGAAGGGTTATCTTCCTGAAGGATGCAGAGAGCTCTGCTTCCAGAGATCAAGGCTCTTTTTGCAGCAGTCACATGTGCAAATGCAGATTATAAAAATAAGCCATTCTTTTCAGTTATATTTATTAAATTACAAGCTTTATCATCTAAAATGTCAACATATAACCCATCACCAGCTGAAAAGAAAACTCTGCCTACTTGCTATCTACTGGGAAAAATAATGGCAAAAATATATGTTATATGTTTGATATGAAATTAAGACATTTTTACAGTACTATGATGTGGGATTTCCCTATGTATGCTATGAATGTATTTTATTACCATTTGTTAATAAAGAAGCTGCTTTGGCCAATGGCTTACAAGAGTAAAGCCAGGCAGGAAATCTGAACAGAGATAGAGAGAGAGTGGGTGAAGTCAAGGAGACGCCATGTAGCTGCCGAAGAAGGATTCTAGAACTTTTCCAGTAGGCCACAGCCTCACAGTGATACATAGATTAATAAAAATGGGTTAATTTAAGATGTAAGAGCTAGGTGGGAATACGCCTAAGCCCTTGGCCAAGCAGTGTTGTATTTAATCGTTTCTGTGTGATTACTCGGATCTGGACGGCCGGGAAGCAAAAGCAAAAGCAGAGTCTCTGTTTACAGTACTGAGTGTTAAATACAGAGCTTGGTGAATGGCTGGCCAAGTTCTCTACAGCTGAGCTATATCCCAGCCCACCCTCCCAGCTATGTTATAGTTTTAAAAGACTTTATTAGTTATTAGTTATTAGTGGCTATATTTATTTGTGCTTATGTAATATGTGTGGGTACACATTCCAAGGCACACATGTGAAGGTCAGGGGACGACTCTATGAGGTCATGTCTCTTCTCCCACCTTTACATTGGTTCAGGGATCTAAGTCAGGCTGTCACATTTTCTTGGTTTCACTGGCACACTTTTTTAAAATTTGAAATAGGGTCTCAGTGTCCAGGAAGGCCTTGAACTTGCCATCTCCCCTGACTCAACCTCCCAAGAAGGCAATAAAATTACACCACCAAACCCAAAGGAAAATCAGATGAAGTAAATGTGTACAGACTATTAATCCCAAATTTAAATGTTTGCAAATCAAGCAAAAGAAGAAAGAGAACTTCAGCTTGAAAGACATACTGCGTTCCCTCTCCTGCCCACCCTGCCATGACCAACCCCTGAGAACTGAGAGCGCAGTCTGTATGATACAGGGCAGTAAGCGCTGAGGCAGGAGGGTCACAGGTGTAAGGCCTGCCCTGGTTACTTAGCAAGACTCTGCAAACGAGGGTCCAAAACACAATGAAATGAACCCCAAGCCCATTTTTAAGTGACAAACTCCATTAATTTAAAAATGCCATTGTTAAAACTATTTATGTCCAGTCTAAAATCACCTTCTTTATTAGTTCTGCTTCATGTCTTCTTGTACAAAGGATGTCTGATGTCATCGCTCCCATAAAGCAGATGGCTGGGCCAGTCTGGTCAGGTCACAGTTCTGCGGAAGTAGAGGCAATCTCGTTTCTATAGATTATTCTCTAAGTCATTCTTAAATATATTTCCTCTCTAAGTGTGTGGATGTGTGTGTCTAGGTGTGGGTGAAGTGCTTGAGGACCCCGAGAGGGCGCGGAGTTTCCCTGGGGCTGTGAGAGGAGCTCAGTCCTCTGCGGGAGCAGTGCACACACTCACCCTGAGCCGTCATCTCCCCAGGCTCCAGTTCCCTAAACCTCGGAGGGTTGAGTCCTCCTGCTCAGTTGTCACTGGCTGTCTGTAGAGTGACATCAGGGACCTGTCTGAGTTTCACGATTGGTACACAGGATGGATAGCAGTTCCACCGGTCAAGTCCCAGAAGTTAGCAGAAAGTGCGGGCTTTGTGGAGAGGAACGTGGAGAGTCCTGGGAAGAAGCGGGCAAAGATGGTTAGTTCAGTCTAGCGGGAGTCTGTGGGATGCCAAGGGATGTCAACACAGAGCTGAACAGAGTTTGGGAAACAGAGCAAGAAGTACAGCGGAGAGGAGAAAGCCAGCCTACAAATGACAGTCAGCATACACGACATCACTCTAGAGGAGGAAGAAGCAGGAAAGAAGGCACAGCATCCTGGAATGCAGCCACGGTCCAGGCTTAGAGCAGGTATTCTCTGTGACGGCAATGAAGAGAAAAGGCCGTAACACCTTCCTTCCCTCTCCAAAGTCAGGGAGGAAAAAGTACAACAAATACCACTATAAGTAGAATCATACAGGGTGGTGTGGTAATTGTGGCACTTGGAAGGGGTGGTTGGTGATCCCAGCATTTGGAAGGCTGAAACAGAAAAGCTGACTAGAGTTTGAGGCCCGGGATACAAGAGAGTGTATCCCATAATAATGATAATGATAATGATAAGGGCGCACAAAGAGAGAGAGAGAGAGAGAGAGAGAGAGAGAGAGAGAGAGAGAGAGAGAGA